CAGTTGGACCTCGTCAGTACGGTAACAATATATTTTTTGGTAACAATATATTTTTTTAGTTAAGAATATCTGCTTACAGAGGGAGTTTTGATTCTTGACTTGTGAGGTTGCGAATTGGCTGTGAGTTGGACTCATGCGCTATCTATCCCTGTGGAAGTAGGCCATCACTACGTCTTTTGAACATAGAAGTAAGGGGTAATTTTGCGAATATTTTAGGAAAACAGTGCTCCTGCGCCAGAAAACGAAGCAAGAAATGAACCTGTACGCATATCACCAGCTGCAACAAGTTCTTCGAATTTGCGCGAACAAAATAGACCGGAACGAGATGCAGGAAAGGTAAGTCTTTAAGTTTGAATTTCTTATAAAAAAAACCCCATTTGGACATAAGATTATAAAAATCTAAAGAAAAAAGCACGATATGGAAATTGCGATTATTTATATGGTGTTTTTTTATAATGTTATTATTTGTTTGTTTTAAACTTGGCTATACACAGTTGCCGGTATGGTACTGCTCTTTTTTTATATATCCAAACGAATGGTTTAAAAAAAAAAAGAAAAAATTATGCCCAACGAATAGCTTAAAAAATATCGGAATAGTTTAGAATGAAAAGAATTGTATCGGCCATAAGAGGGATGCATTATTTCTTCTATAACTACGGTCCTAGGCACTTACTAACCTGAGAGATTCCACTGCATCGTATAGCTAGCCACTTATTATTAAGATCGTAACCAATTGTACGAAGAGTTTTAATTAGATTACGGCAAGGATTCGATTGATATAGGCCAAAAAAAAAAAAAAAAAATATACAAATTACCAGCGTTTTTGACTCGAAAAGTATCATTGCTTTGATTTTGATATCAGTATCGCATTGATGTGGCCCGTAGTATAAATTAGTATATCGCAGTATGAATTTGACATGTGACTACATATCATTAACAATAAAAAGTTAAGGTTGAAAGCTCCAGGTTTTAGTGTTAACTTTTATTAGCTATCCAAATTTTGGGTCAAAATTTTGCCAGTCGATTTCCCGGCCAAATGCTGCCCCCATGACCGTGGTACAACTCTCGCGCGCATCTGATTCTGCGTGCGACCACGTAAAAATTTTGGCGGGAGAACCGCTAGCTCGGAAACCAGAAAAGCTGGGGAACTGCAGTTTTGAGGTCTTAGTGTTAACTTTCATTAGCTATCCAAATGTTAGGCCCTTACGTGCTCTTTGACTGCAGCAACGGAAGACAGTGAAGAGTATCAGTGCTTTATTTACTAATAAAAGCTTCACTTCAGTCGAACGAGCCGGGGTGTCGCACAAACTATCCAGCGGAGGGAGAACGTTAATCGTATCGAGGCAGCCAGTTAGTAGCTTTAGTGTATCAAAACATGGCACGCGTTGGGCCCGAGACTCTGATCCCAAAGGTTTTTGGAAGGGATTTATAAAGGGTAAATTAATGGAAGGAAACGGAGGGCAGAAGAGTTAGTAAGTTGGGGCAGTAGGCAAAGTAAAATGTAGAATTATTTAGAATATGGTAGAAGTGTTAAGAATTAGTGAGTGGAGGAAACTAGGTCGGGTACTTAGGATTACACAGGGATAATTGAGGATCTTATTACACTTTAAGTTTTGAAATAATGCTTTTGAAGTAGAGCAGTCATCCTGAAGGTTTTTACTCACCCAATTTTTGCTTAGGATCGCAGAGAGCCAAATATGCCAGCACCGACACCAGTAGAACATCAATCAACGGATTCTACGACGCGTGAAGATTCAGTTGCTGAAAGATTACCACAAAATCGCAGGAATTCCAAGAACGTTCGCGATCGCTACCGT